TTGTTATTGTTGTAAAGATAACGGGATGAATCCTTTCCCATGAGAAAGAAAATCCTGACATGAAGTGATTACTTTTTTGACAGTTATGTTCCTTAGGAACTTTATTTATTTATTTAGATAAGTAGAAAACTTTATCAGTTTTGTGCCATTTTCAGATAACTGTCTCTTCTTTTGTAGCCCCACAGACGGAAGAAACCTTTCATAGAAAAGAAAAAAGCTGTAACATTTCATTTAGTGCACAGAAGTCAGAAGGACCCTTTGACCGCTGATGACAGCGCACCCCAGAGAGTTCTGTTGCCTGCATTAAAGGTAATAAGAAATGATAGTGTTGAAGAAAAGCAGCTTGAAGAAAAGCAATTCATGTGAAAGGATGGGGAAGGGCTATTGTCATCATATTCTGCCTATCAGCTTTCTGAAGGCACTTGAGCTGGCCATTGTGGGAAACAGGATGCTGCAGAAAACATGGCAGGACTCTTCATATGTTCTTCCTAGCAGAAGAATTCTGAATTCTCTTTGAGCATCAACGTTACTACAAAAATGCATAGAAAGTAATTGGAACCATCATGTGTTTTTTTCTGGAAAGATCTGCTTTTATCATAGTGCCTTTTTAAAAAAAATACAGTATCTTTTGCTTTATGTTTGAAAGCAACATTAGCTAAATTCAGTAATTTCCTTCTCCCCCAAAACTTCTAGGGGGATGATGAAAAAAGAAGAGAAGAACAGCGGAAATATGGAGTATTCTTTGATGATGATTATGACTACTTGCAACATTTGAAGGAAGCTTCTGGATCTTCTGAACTTGTTCCATCAAGCTTACCAAATCAAGGCAGGATTGTAATATCTACAGAAGGTGGGGTAGAAGAGGAAATTCAACACATTCCAGTAAGTAAAGATGTTCTTGGCTGCTGTGGTGGTATTTGCTATATTTATCGTATGTATGTTCAAATCAAACTAGTGGTAATTTTTGAAGTCAGAGTTTAAATTTCTAAACAATGTTTTTTGTTGTCATGTACCTTCTCAATCACAAATTGACTCTGAATTCTTTTATGATGGACCTAAAAAGCTACCTCATTTTGATTCATTAGTGGTGCTAATAAAATTTTGACAGCATTCCAAAAATTTATATTGAGATGAACGGATCTACACTATGTATCATGTAATGAAAAATTGTTACCAACAGTAATCAGTTGATAGATTATATAGTGGTGGATGAGGTTCACGTTATTGAATCAAGCTACATTTAGCATATTTTCTCACATTGTAACAACTGTTAGTATAGTTTGGGGTTTTTAAAGAATTATTTGTCCATTTGAAAAACTGGTGATAAATTAGGCTTGCTTGTTAATGGGACCTTGGATACCCTTGTTTGTTAACATGTTCCAGAAATGCTTGTACAATAAAATAGTTTCTTACAAATTCAGCTGTAAAGAACGGGGAAAAGTACATATGCTGATTCTCAGATTTCAAAAGATTGAGACCAGTATCAAATGAACAGTATATGCTAGAAACTCAGTTCAGGACATTTGGTCTCTTGAACATTTTTAAAGAAAATGCTACATGTTCTTCGTTCTTTAGGCACCCACCATTAATCTCCCCTCCTCAGTGTTTGCATCAGAATTTGAAGAAGATGTGGGGCTATTAAATAAAGCTGCTCCTGTTCCAGGTACTATATTTGCAGTACAATCTTTTATGTGCATTTATATCTTGATGTGTAAAATGAAGCTTTTTCCTTAATACAGGCTTAATCTGTCTTTCATATCATTAGTGAGGTATATGTGGTTGCAGAATTCTGTTACTGTCCAAATCTGTAATAGGGGATAAATTACAAGGGTGTATAAGGTAGCTGTTGTTTGCCCTGATGGGATGCCTTGTGCCACAGAGGCAACACATTATCTTCATCAAGGCAAGAAGACAACACCGTTCTCCTAAAAGCTCAGTGCAGCAGTTCTAATTGCTGGAATAGGGTTCTGCACTAACATAGCATATGAACAGAATCATCATCTGGTGCTTCCAGTTGCTGACTAGAAGCTTTGAAAGAGGGCACGTGCAAAGTGCATTGCGGAAGCATCTTAGGTGGCTATGGCCTAAGGAGACAAAGCAAAGCAGCCACCTCATTTCTAGAAGTAGGAAAGCTGCATTGCTTCACAAAGCAGCTTTGAAGAGGAGATTTATCAAAAGGAAACATATTTTCAAAGCTGTGCACAGGCCTAGCAATCCATTATATGCTTCCTTTGGGTTCAGGTTGATTCCTTCCTTCAGCAGAACTAGCGCATCAGACAAAAACAATGAAAACTGGAAAAGAAATTGATGGCTAAAATAATATGTGAAGAGAGGCATTCTGTTAGGAGTTCCTTTTTTTTTTTCCAGATTAGTTGTTGCTCTTACATACATGGCTTAGAATGTTACTCTTTTTTGTTACATTCCTAGGTATTTAACTTGCACTGGATAAAATTGGGCAAATGTGCCAGAAGGAAAAAATGTGATTGTTGTTGTTCCTTTAAATTATGTCTGCAACCTGTGCTGTGCAAACTTCCTCTCTCAGAACTCCTTTGGATCTTCACACTCTATCCCTGCCCCATAATTTGAAATAGTGACTTGTTAGTTCCCATTGCCACCCTATATCTTCCAGGAATGCCTCATCTGGCATCCACGCCATGATACCAATGTATGATACAGCTCTCACAACCTGTGCTGCCTTTCTGAGAGTTAAAAATTGAAAAAGCAAAAACAACCTCCTGGACAGTTGGTTTAGAACTGTGTGATTAAATGATTCAACCCTTCCTTACCTCCTTGGGAGATAGATCAGTCGAACCAGAGATAAACAAAATTAGCTTTATTTAAAGAAAAAATGTAAAACCCCTTTTTAACTTTAAATATTAAAATGCAAATACTCTAGACTGGTAATGCTAAATTATAGAAATGGTCAAATCATGGTAATATAGCTGGCAACTCAAAATAAATTTACACAAAAAAATGCAGAGTATGGTCTGCTGCAAATAGAAAGTTCTCTGGCAGAATCTCAAAAGAGATGCTGAACAGATTTTAACTTATAGATCATAGGAAAATTACAGGTAATAGCTTCATGCTCAGCTTGAAGAGTATAAATGTTGAAATTACACAGAATTCACTAGCATGTACAGAGAAGTGTAGAAAATTAGACTTAGCACCACACAGAACACAAATCCAACCTAGTGTAATATTCCTGGCTAGATAATTTACCTGTTATTCTTTGCTTCAGGGCTCCTGGAGTTGCAGTTTCTTGGGGTTTTCAAGCCTTCCTTAGAGGCTGTGGGGAGATGGAAGTCTCCACACCAGCTTTTTCCAGCCACTCCAGATTTCTCACTTAATTTTAGTATGATCAAGCCCTTGTTCTATTTCCAGCAATGAGAAGGGCAGGGGCATCTGATTACGTATGTAACTAAATATGATACCTCATTTGAAGGATTTGTATTCTCTCTGAGCCTGAAGCCTGCCTGAGGGAAGTGCGTTGGGAATGGGTAAGCGTGATGACTGGAAAAGAGACTACATTCACTACAGATGGTTAACAAAAGCAGATTGGAGCTCACTCCTCCCTCATAAGCACAGTATACCATTTAATTAATTTAGGCCCTGAAAACCATTCTGTTCAATCTGGTCTTAAAACACTTCTGAAAACTTCTTAGGTTTGATCTGAGGGTAACAGGAGAAGGTAGTTTTCTAACTAATTGCTGTTGTAGTGAATTATTTTTTTCTGTTTGGAGAACTTGTGTTCAGGGCAAACTGACAGTTCTGAGAAATGGCTTAATGCTGTCAAAACTGCTTTTTAACATAATCTTTTATCTAACAATAGGGCCTAGACCGGACCTTGATCCTGACATTGTCGCAGCACTTGATGACGACTTTGATTTTGACAATCCAGATAATCTGCTTGAAGATGACTTCATGTTAAGAGCTAATAAACCTGGGAGCCTAGAACTGGAGAAAGAAGTCTCTTGGTAATGGAATGGCAAACATTACTATATGTTTATTATCTTATTCAGTTTTTCTAATGGGGAGGGAATTCCAGTACTTGGTGAATCAGAATTATTCCACTAAGAGCAGGGACATTAGAATGGACTACATTTAAACTCATTTGTATATAACTTTTTCAGGTCTTGATCAATTACTATTTCATCCTTAGCTACACTGTAGTACATGAAAAATCATGAACTAATAATCAGCATATTAGTAAAGTAAATGTAAATCTAAGGAAGCCAATTAATGTATATGCTGTTCACAGGGAATCTGAAGATGAAGATGCATGGGAAGATATGGAGGAGGAGGAAGATTTTCAGAATGATGATGAATATGATTCTGAAGGTCCTTTGTCAGATGACAGTGATTTTAAAGGGAAGATGAAAGAATTTCTCTTCATGGAAGAAGAAACCAAGAGCCGTTTCACAGAGTATTCCATGACCTCTTTAGTAATGAGAAGAAATGAACAACTAACACTTCTGGATGAAAGATTTGAGAAGGTGAAATAAACTAACAATGGTTATTGTAATTATTAAGATATACTGGGAAAATATTACTTAATTTTAATTTTGATCTCTTAACATACCATATATATAAATGATTGCTTTATTAATGTTTTTCCCACTACTACTAAATAATAAGAATTTTAAGGAATTTTATAACATCTAATGCTATGACTTATTCTTATTTCTTGTCTAAATCACTGGGCTAACAATAACTTTATGTTACATGAGCTTTTTCGTCAGTGGAAAATGTTGCTTCTTATATAAAGGGGGGAAATGTAAAATAATTGTTCTCAGATATTTTTCTGTGTGATTTAAATTTGCTATTGTATTTACATTCAGTATGTACTTTCAATTGACTGAATATTATGATTTTTTTTTCATGTTTAGTTCTTCGAACAATTTGATGATGATGAAATTGGTCCACTAGATAATGCCGAATTAGAAGGTTTCATTCAAAATGACAGTACTCGATTACAGGAGGTTTTGAATGACTACTTCAGGGAGAAAGCAAAAGAGTATGTAAAGAGTTCTTACTGGGTAGTATGCTTCTTAGGAAATTCTGTGTACCTCTTCAAAAATGAGTAGTTTACAGGTAAAATGCTAATCATATCACTAATATTAAAACAGTGGCTTGAAGCATAATTAACTGTTAATCTAAGTCCTTAAAAAGTCTAATTTTAGGAAGTAAGTTGCCTGATGCCAAAACAGTAGTGCAGGCATCTGACAAGCCTCTCTTCCTTCTGTAGATGTGGGGCAAGATGGTGAAAGAGATGATCTACATAGGTGGCATGAGTGTCACTTTTTTCTGTTAATGCTAAGAGGAGGGAATCCTCTTAATTACTGATTTCATTTTGCATTCATCTCTAACGAATTCAGTAAAATCCTAATACATTTGGTGATAAAAATGAATATATTTCTTTAATAATTCAGTATGGTTGTGGCACATTTGGGGGACAGAACCTGGTTAAGACTTAGGTTATATCTCTGTTGATTACTGATGTTAACAGTAATGTGTTAACCCAATGTATCTAGTTTATCCATAAATGTGCCTTCTGGTTCCTCTTCCTGTGCCCCCAAGCCATGGTTTGTTTTAAAGTTGCTGTATTGTCCAAATGAGACATAGTGGCTTCCGGTAGTACCAAACCACTTCGTCCCCCTTCTCAATTTAGCACAAGTTGCCCCCATTTTTAGACTTACCCTTCTCTAACTCAGTGCTTGGTAAATCCAGTTATGAAATATCCTATGTTACATACAGAAGAGGCAATTGCATTGGTGATGTCACATTGTCATGTATCTTATTGAAGGAAAAGGAGAAATCTGTTTCAAGATAAGGTAATCATGTCCCCTACTTTACAAGTCCTATTGTTAAATTGCAGTGTTCAACAGGTACCTAATTTGCTGTTGCAAAGCACATCTTTTCACCTCCCCATATAAGAAGAATATGGGAGTTATGCTAGAGAATCAAGCTGCAAATATGTATATTTAGAAGTGGTATCTCAGAAGTTGAGGGAAATCCTGCGTGAAATGTGCTACATCATTCCAGTCAGCTTAAAAATTAGTAGGATGTTTATGACTTGAATGGGACTTACATTTGTATTTTGAGACATGTCAGTTTTCTTTCCAGTATTTCCGATTTCAAGTCAATTGTCAGTTGAATTCTTTCTTAAAATAACTAATTCCTCAAATAGCATTACATTATCCTGAATTTTACTGCTCATTCTGTTCCTTTTATTTTAAAAAAAAAATCAAAAACCAAAACCCAAGATAGTAAAGTGGATCTTTTTGCTAAAAAAAAGTGTGATACGGACAAAGTTCTGACAACTAAATAAACCATTAACAATGTTAAAGTGAAATGCTACATAGTGTTATGTAAGCTTAGGTTTGTAAAGCCAAGGTAATTGTTGGTACTACAGAAGCTTGTAATGTTGTATCCAGTGGCAGCATTGCTCTAGTGAAAAGTATTTATGCATTCAAAGATATATAATTTACTGCCTTTCTGTAATTTGTTGTGCCTTATCCTATTTTGTTACAGAGAATTCCCCAATCATTAATTACTCTCCATAGAATAAATGAATAAATAAAAGAGTAAATGAATAGAGTAAAAGAGAACCAGTTTGGTGTTGTAGTTAAGGCATCAGACTAGAAACAAGAGACGATTTCTAGTCCTTCCTTAGGCACAAAGCCAGCTGGGTGACCTTGGGCCAGTCACTCACTCTCAGCCCTAGGAAGCAGGCAATGGCAAACCACTTCTGAAATCTTGCCAAGAAAATTGCAGGGGTTTGTCCAGGCAGTCACTAGGAGTCAACACTGACTTGAAGGCACACAGAGAGAGAGTAAAAGAGTACAAGCATACAGGTAGCCCTCGACTTACGACCACAATGGGGACTAGAACTTCCATTGCTAAGCAATGTGGTTGTTAAGTGAATTGTGCCTGATTTTACAATTGTTTTTGCCGTGGTCGTTAAGCAAATCATCATGGTTGTTAAGCAAATCACGTGGTCGTTAAGCAAATCCAGCTTCT